GAACAATGAGAAATATCATCAGTTGTTTACGATTAATCTGTCTGATAGTGTTTTTAAAATTTCATATGATATTAGAATTTCATGAAGAGAGATGTTTCTTAACGTGATTATCGTTAGGTTGATATTTGTGATGTTGGTTGGAACAGAGAGGTGTAGACTGGCAATGAGTTGTTGATTAGATAAGTAAATGAATCGAGTGTTTTAAGGTGATACGGCGACTGAGCAGTCACAAGAACAATCGAATGCGGGTGCAACAAATGGTGCTAATGAAACGAACGAGAAAAACGGTGATGAGCAAATACATTTTAAGTTGACTGATCTGTGCCATAAAGTACTAGGTGAAGCGTTGGATAAACGTGAACAGGTGCACATTTTTTGTAACATTATAGAAGATCTTGTCTTTCATTTACATCTTGCATCCTTATTATTTGACGAATACCCAAAAATGTCGATGCTTCGACTCCAAACATTTATATCCATTTGTGTGAACGTGTGTATGTGCGATAGGCTTGTATCATATCGCTGAGAATAGTGAAAGAGCAGTTAGATTCACTAGTTCAGGTATAATTCAGATGTGGTAACATTTGACGAGGTACCGCTGAAATCATGGTGAAAATTCTCATTCATTACAGTACTTTTTCGCACTTTTGGCAAATAAATACTGGTGTGATTGAAAGAGTTTTATAGGAATAGTTTTAGGTTGGTAATTGGGCCATGCGACCGCTGCGTACAGAGCAAATGAAGTATGCAGCAATGGACGCCTATTGCTTAATACCAATTTACGAGCGATTGAAAAAACTCGCTGAACAGTAAGTCATTATATTAAATTTTACTGTTGTTTTTTTTTTTCATTTCGGCAGTCAGATGTGTCATTTATGCTGATTGGTTTCCATGGAGTGTAAGTATAATCACCACTGGGAAATTCCCATTGGTTTCGAAGTTGTTTTTGATTGGTTTTTGCTTCACATTCAAGGTGATCTTTTGTGTGTAGATGGAACGATTCAGGGAATGCAATTTGGACTGGCAAGTGCATATGGATCGTGGTAATGTAGTGCTGGCGAAACCAAAGGCGTCGAAGAAAAATAAGAAGAAAGTTGTGAAGGTGGANGAAGAAGAGTTAGTACGAATGATGGAGGTTAGTAGATTTTGTAATTTTTGATTTCCTTCATGTGTAGGTACATACACTGCAGACATGTTTTTGGTTTGACTTCAGTGGATTCTTAGTGACATTCCGTTTGATTTCCTTGGCATTTTCATCAGCTGATTATGGTTGATAGGGGATAGTTTAGCACGTTGTGAAATTTTGAAAACAATAACTTGCGAAAGCCTGTTCAAGAATTGAATTCTTACGAAAATCGCTTAGGTATGCGACGTTATTCTCATGAAGAAAATAAAATTCATCCAAAGAGCTGCTGTAATTTTAAGCGTGTCAATGCTGCGATTGAAGCGAGTGTGGGAGAAGAACGAAGGCCAAAAGACGTGAGAGTAGTGGTCGATTCAATGATGCTGGGATTGGGAAAACATTTGAGAAGGTATATCGTTTTTCGGTATCAGAACTTGCGCTAATTTTTTTCTTATTTTCGACATTTTTTTGTGTTGTTTGTAAAAGGGAATTGGATTAGTAATTGAGATATCTGAATTGAAAATTTTCTTTACGGAACGGTGGAAAACAAAGTTCTGTTTTTGAGTTGATGATTGTTTCGGCAGTTTTACAATTCACTTTTTGTAGTTAGTTTTCGTTTCCGTTATCGTCATATGCATGCAGATGGGTCATTTGATGACTTGTGCGTTGGTCTTTTGTTGTTGTTGATTTGGATTTTGTGACAGTGTAAGAGAATGATTCTATTCAGTCGGAGCGGATGTATTGAGAATTTGAAGTTGAATATATTCGTTAGGTGATAGACAGTCAAGTGAAAAATTAAGATGTGGAATTGACACGGTGTTACCTGAAACGAGACTTGCGTTGGTGGAATGTGCGCAGAAGGATCGAGATAGGTACATTTTGACGAGTGGAAAAGCTTACGATGAGGTAGGTCACTTGCCATTTTTTGAATTTTCATTCGATCGTTGAAAAAATTTCTAGCGCAACGTTCGTTAATAATGCAATTTTCCAGTTGTTATATGATGGTGATAACAGTATTTAAGTACTGAGATGGCTTCATTTATTTCAGTGGCATTGTATGTGAAATGTTTTCATAGTTCTAATATATGGTTCATTTTGAGCGAAATATACTAAGTAATCAGTTTTATTGTCGTGGAATTGGTAGTAGTATGACATGGTTGAATAGTGGTCGTTGGAATGAGTTAGAAGAGGATTGCGAGGTGTGAATGGTAGTAATTGCAAACAGGAGGATATCTTATGATACCTTATTTTGATGCGTTGCATAATTACAGTTGTCTCGAAATCGAGTGCTATACAGAAGCAATCGAATTTTATGTATACCTGAATTACAATCCAAGAACGCTATTGAGCAAATTGAATTTGTACTGAAACTTCTTCGTGTGAAGTTGACGAAGGACGATATCTTCTCGCGTTGCATGGTAAGATTTTATTATGTTTGTTATCTGATTATCTAAAGTTTTTCTGAAGAGTCATTTGGTTCCTTTGGTAAAGTAATCTGAGAATTCCATAGAGTATTGTGAATTAGGCTGTCATAGAAGGAAGTCTGGAGTAAATTGGGCCAGAGTATTATGAAGTTGTTGTTGTTGTTGGTTTATATAGTTTGTTTCTAATGGACTTCATTTATCTCTATAGAATCAGCGGATCATCAGTCACTATCTGCTGGCGATTTTGTTTATGTTATTTCGTTGAGGATTTCGTTTTTTCTCGTGAAGTTGCTTGTTTTGTAAGGAGAAGTAATGTGCGAGTGATCGGTGAGAAATGCAGAGGTTTAGAAAGAAATCTGCTTAAGAATCGTTTTTGTTGAACTGAATTCACTGAAGTTACAAGAACTACGATTCAGTTGTTATATATCTTCTGTAATCCAGAGATCATTTTCGTGTGTTCATTTGCCCGTTATTTGAAACGTTTCGATTGGTTGTTTACAATTAGTTGTTCGTTTCGTTCATTTCATTCTGATATAAGAGGTGGTCGATAATTTTTTCATTTGCATCACTTTTCCATTGTCGTTTGATTCACTTAATATTCGCGATCGGGGAGAGTAACGAAATTTGTTGAAACCAACAGTGAGTGAAGTAGTTTCATTTAGTGAGCTGATTGTGAGTGTTTTTGTCGCATGAGGCGATCAATATAAATGAGAAGCTGTGAATGCATTCTGTGTGGAATCGGTGAACAGCGAGCGATTTGGTAATAGCAAACAAATGAGAGCTGAACGCGAGAATGATGAGTGGAATATACGTTCCATATTTTGCTGCATAGTTTACCTACTGATTTGGTTGTCATATTGAGTTTCAAAGAGAGAGTAGTGGAAATTGGGTGAAAACAGAATTATTGATCACTTCTTGTATTCAGGATGAAGAAACAACAACAACGACAACAACAGCGAAAACGGCAAAACGTTGGGAAGAGGGTGATTTGTCCGTGAATGATTGGTTTTCGAACACGAAACCGCTTTCCACTTCGACGTCATCCAATCCACAGTCATCATTATCGCCTTCGAAAGAATCGGTGCCTAAACGACAAGACGAGTCACAACAACAGAACGAGCAGCAAGCGACGTCCAAATATCAACAAAGTTCATATCAGTGCCAGCAACGATACAGTCAATATTCCTATGATTCAGTAGAAGATTCGTATCAGCCCTGGAGTGTACAAAATCCAGATCAATTTTTGAAAGGAAATCCAAAGTACCGACAAAATTACAGTTATGAGAATCAGAACAAGAGAAAGAATTGGAATGGGACAAAGAATGCTGCAAATGATGGCAATCAGAGCCGGAATCCGAATGGGTATCAGGGATCGAGAAATGGAAACCCGTCTCATAATTCAAGTGGACGCCAGAATCGCAGTTATTATCACCAACCTAATCGTAGAGGTCAGTACAGGGGCAATAATCGTTATAATCAGCAACCAAAAGCAAGATGGAATGAACAACAGCCTAAGCCACAGCACCAACAGCAAGTGGATCAACTCCAGACACCGAAAGACAGTAGCTCGGGTAGTAGCATAAATAGTATCAGTTGTGGTCCGGCAACGAATAATTTGACTATTATGGCTCCTGGTCCCATTCTGCTCTCATTTGCACCCGTTCAAGACGGCGAACGTCTCCGTGTCAATCCAGGCGGCACCCGTATGACTTCTGGAGCATCGTCAACGGTTTTAGAAATTAGTGGCAATTCTACGGTCACGTTGACTCCAATTGGTGGGCCACCGAGGATGAGAGGCAGAGGTCGAGGGAGGCGTATGGTGCAAAAACCGTCGGAGCGTGGTGCACCCAAGTCACCAACTGTTTACAAGTGGTAATAGGCTCACTGACTTGTGGTATTATGATGGCGGTTGAACGTTGGATTTTTGCATATTTTGATTGATATGATTTGTTGTTTGGAATGTTGTCAGTTCAGTTAATATGAGAAGTCTTTATTGTTTCGTTGATCGTTGAAAGTATCATAGTTATCGCATTGTTTATGGATTCAATTGTGTCTTTTGAGTATGATTGAGTTCTTGTTAACGGACGGTTATTGTATTGTTTCACATGGTCCATGATGTTGTTTCTGAGTTGTTGCGGTTTTTAACAGTATTGTTCTTTTTTTAAATGGTAAATGAGGTCAGTTTTGAAGTGGTGTGAACGTGTTTAAGTATGTTGCCATAAGACTGGAGAGTTTTCCGTGTATTCTTCATTCATTTCTTTTTGTTTCCTTTTTATGTTTTTAGGCATCCTCTTTCGAGAATTTTCAATTTTTGGTTTTCGAGAGAGATGTCTTCGAGCCTTTTTTTCATACGAGTATTCGGCTATGTCTATTGCTAAACGGTTTTGTTTGAGATCTCGTTGTGTTGGTGAAGTTTTCGTGTTACAAGTGATCCCATAATCCGTCGAATGTTAAAAGAATAGGTTGCTGTGCAATTTCATTCTCTTTGATGTGACCCAAACGCTGTTGAATGTTAAATGTTAATTGAACAGGTGTCTTGGAATAGGTTTAGTTGTTATCATTGACGTTTTGTGTTGATAGTTTCCATATCCTGAAATGAATTGTTGACGTTATAGTGTTACGTTTTCATTACCATTTATTTCAATCGTTTGAAAAGAAATTGAAATGATGAGTCGTTTGAAATTATATTTCATTGTGCCACTGTTGTTTTTATGTTAAATTTGGAATTTTAGTTGATCTGGTGTTCAGTTCGTCAGTTTAGAAAGATTTTATCATTTTTGGTCTAATGTTTATAATGTTTTGCACCAATATATTGATGGATNGATGGATGGATGTTGTTATTTGTTTCATGGTTGTCAAGTGGACTTTTTCAGTCTTTGAAGAAATTTTTATTGTATCAGGGAAGAGTTTTGTGTTTTCCTATTGATTTGTGCTCTATGTTATGAAGGTTTCTAATTCAGAAAATTTCAATGTTGATGAATAGCATTTTTGTGCGTTTTAGAGATTTCAATGAGATTATTTGTTTGATTCATTGATGAGGGTGATGAAAGCAGTTTTTTGAGATAATGGTAGTAATCACTCAT